AACTAGCTCTGTTTCAAAGTCAATTTCTACTATTATATTATATAATCTTTTTATATGCATTGAACTTTGGTCTCTAATTTGTTTAAATAAATTATCCTCAACTTGCATAAAGCCAGTTTTTTGATCTATTTTCCATCTAGCCTTTAACTGCCCGTATTGAAACCGTGTTTGAATTACCTTTTCCTTTTTTAATACATCCAAAGATTTCGAAAAAGTGCTTTTTCAAAAGGCAACTGAACATTGTTTTTCCTTGAAGATGTTTCACTTCTCATCGAAGAAGCTCCTTCAGTTCTGAGTGAACTCTGAACACTCATAACCAAAAGAGCTTCTTGGAGGAGAAGTGAAACGTTTTTAGGGAAAAACAAAGTCCAGTTGCTTTTTTGAAAAAGCATCTTTGGGATACCCAACTCATCAGTTTTAGTCTATGTATTGACCAAAATGAAAATGTATTAAATCATATGCAGTGAATACTTTGGTGAAAGCCCAAGAAATAGAAGGAATTTATTGCATTTATTTGTTGTAACAGGAATTAAATTTCTTTCATTTTTATTATTATTTTTGCTTAGAAAGTGAAGTTTGCAATATCTTTATAACTTACTGGTTTCCTCTTAGGGGGAATGAGTTCAAATCCACTTTATTAATTTATTTTATCACATTTAAACACCACTCATCTCATTGTCTTAAGTGACCCTTAAGGTGAAATCTGATAATTTATTCAGTGTTTTTTTGCAGGCATTAGATAATTCCTAATAATAAATATTCATCACATACTTAAACATAGTTTGTGGAGTCTATGTTCTGGAGAAAATTAGAAGGATAAGGAGAGGGCATTTTCAAGTTAAGATGAAGATGCATTGGTAACTTAGAATGCTGATGTGTAATTCTTGGCTGCAGGAGAAATTTCTGATTGATAAAAATAAATAATACTTCAATAAATAAGTATTTTGTAACACTGCAAGAAAACTTACACATATTCTGTATATTTTATTTTGGAGCAGTCATTCTACCAAGACTGTGATGGACTTCGTGAACAGCAGTGATAATGTCATCTTTGTACATAACACAATTCATCTTGTCTCTCAAGTGATGGACAATATGATTATGGCTTGTGGTGGCATATTACCTTTGCTTTCAGCTGCTACATCTGCTACGGTAAGAAATTCAATTTCCAATACACAAGTGGTGTCTTTGTGCATTGGATTATACTAAACTAAAATTATGCTCACGTATGCTTGCTTAGGGCTCTGCTGGGGGGGGGGATTTGTTCTGTGAGCCAATACCAAAAAACTGAATTATGTGACATGGATTTTGCCTTTCTTTTTTTTGAGTAAAAAAGGATATAAGAAAACATTCTCTCAGATCCAGTGTGAGTCTATTAAAGATGAGATGCTTGGAATCGGTCTGTTTCTTTCCCTTCCTTGCCCAAATGTGCTCACATTCTATAATATTATCCAGGGGCATATGTAAGGAGAGCAAAAGGATAAGATGACAGTTGCAACCTCGTGATTGAAGCATTGCCATTTATATATGTTTATGACATATCAGTTTATCATTTCTTCTTCCAAGACCAGGAAACAATTTTTGAATACCAGATTGGAGTGGTACCCTATTTTGTGTTTTTGGCCCTTCTAATCTTTTTTGCTGTTAAAATCTTAACATAAATGCATTTTTTTGCTTTACTGATGAAATCTACCATAGAATAAAATAGTTTGGGACATTTCATAATTAATTTAAGACAGGATTCTCAAATCTTTTGAACCACATTGCCAGTTAAGGAATAACATATGCATTTATTCATGCACCTTTACTCTCATATGTTATCCCTTTCCCTTATTCTCAAAGGTCCCATAGGGACCCCATGACTTTGATGCAGTTCCTTTGCCTATATATAACAGGGCACCATGACTGTCTGATGAAAACAAAAATGTGTGATGTGCTGTCATAAATTTCCTTTCTGGGAAATAGGCAGGAATTACAGAGGGTTTTGGAAGTAACTGACATGGAACTTTTGTATCCAGAAAAGGGCTTAAAGGGAACAAGATTATCTCTGTGCTGTTGGCATGTTTCCTAATCATTTTTTTTCTTTCCCAAGCATGTGCCCATCACTGTTCACTAGATTGCTAATTTTTGTAAATTACAATCACATTCTGATTTATTATGTTTTTTACAATTTTGCTGAAATATTTGTGCATTTTATTTCTATTTCAGATCTTTCTTTGTAGTAATTTAAAGTTTGTTTATTATGGTATCTAGGCAATCAAGGTCATTTAAAGTTATACTTGCTTCTTCATGGAACCAGTTTTGAAACAGTTCTCTTTTATATTATTTATAAATAATAGAAATTATTTATATTATTTGGTCTAGTGATTAAGACACAAAGCTAGTACCAAGAGAGTATAGCATGAAAGCTGGCTGGGTGACTTTAGGCTAGTCATTTATTTCAGCCCACAAGGTCAGGCTCAGATAATAAACCAATTGCTCAATTCCTTCAACACTCAGTTGATTGGGGGTGGTGGGGTGGGAGAAGAAGGAGCAGAGCCTGTGTTTGCAGGAAAAACTTTTGGAAGATAAAATATTATTTTGTATTATTTATTAGGACAATATACTGTATTTTTAGGGAATATTAAATTATATTATAGCATCAATACAACAGAAAAAAAAATCTAGAGGATTTAAGGTAAACATGGAGAAAAGAGTTAATCATTAAACACTAAGGAAATATTATAATCCTAATTGATATTTAATAGAATTATAAAAATGAATATGAGCAAACATGTTACTGTTGAGCAACCTTCAATCATTATCCTCTTAATTTCTTAGAATGGGAAAATAGAGATAATCCTGTTCCAATAGTAATTGGAACCAGTGTTTATTATTTATATTGTTATTAGTTCCTAGATTGTTGGACAAATAAATTGAGACATTTCAACCATTAATTCCATTTATACAGCTAGTCCTCATTTCGTGACCAGAATTGGGACTGGTAACTTAGTTGTTAAATGCCATAGCCACTGTGAAAAATCATGTGATCATGACTACTTACAATTTTATTGCAGCTTCCCCTTTTCTCCACTGCATCATCATTTGGAATGCTTACCCTAGTGCTGGGATAACTAGCAAAAAGAGAATTAATGTTTGAGTTTATATTTATTGGAGATGAAAGGATTAGAAGAAAGTCAGGAAGCACATATTAGACTATGGTAATTTAGGAAGGTATATAAAAATAAATCATTTTCCATTCTCCAGCATGAATTGGAAAGCATTGAGCCAACTCAAGGATTATCAGTGGAAGCTTCCATAGCATTCCTTCAAAGGTTAATTAGCCTTGTGGATGTATTGATCTTTGCAAGTTCCCTTGGATTTACTGAAATTGAGTCAGAGAAAAATATGTCATCTGGTGGAATTTTACGGCAATGTCTTCGACTTGGTAAGCAAATAGTTGTTAGCATTAAGATGTTTTTTTTAATCTTTGATAAGTTATCTTAAATATATTCACAAAGAAAATTCCTATCAAAGTTATAATGCCCTTGTATCCATCTAGAGCTGTGATGGCGAACCTATGGTATGCATGCCACAGGTGGCACTTGGAGCTGTCACCTGTTGCTCTTTCGGGTTCCAGTGTGCCAGCCAGATGGTTTCCACATACATGGGTGCGCATGCACATGCCAGAAAGATGATTTTCCTGTTTCCAGTGTGAACATGCACATCAGCCATTTGATCTTCTGGTTTCTGGTATGCATGTGCATGCAAAGATCAGCAATGGCAAGATGCGGAGGGTATTCTGGCGGTTGCTTTCTAGCGGAAGAGAGCTGTCGTCCAGGCCTGGCGGGCTGGGGCTTCCTTCACTCCCCATCCGAGCATGCTTCCTGCCCAGTCCCAGCCCTTCAGGCCAGGGCGCATCCATGGTCCAGAGCACCTGGCTGGCCACCACGCATCTACCAAAAAAGCATGACTGCTTCCTGTCCGACACCATAATTCTGGCCTTCCTCCTTCACAGCCCCCCCCCCCCATGCCAGAAGAGCAGCAGAAGCAGCGGCAACACACAGACAACGTTTGCTAGCTGCACAAAAAGCCCTCTTGGATGGGGAGTGAGAGAAGCCCCAGCAAGCTGCCCAGGAGAGTCGGAGGAGAGTGCAGCTCCTCATGCATAGAGACATGGAGGGAGAGAAGCCCTAGCCTGCCCGTCTTCACTGCCACCACCGCTTCTCCAGGAGGGAAGTCCCAGTCTGACAATTCTGGCCAGCAGCTCTGCTTCCTTTCCTCTTCTGGCTTCTGGGGTGCACCCTCACCCGGTTCTCGCAGCCAGCAAATGTGGGCTGGAGGGCTGGGGGCAGTGCAAGAAGCCCACTCGGGTGGGGAGGGAGGGAAGCACCAGCCCACCCATCTTTGCTGCCATGTTGTCCCTGGAGATGGTAGTTCTCACACTGCCGCTTTCCCAGAGGCGGGAGGAGCAGCAGGCTGAGCAGCCAGCCACCCAGCCACCAAACGTGGGCTTGGGTGGCCTGTTGTTCCTGCCCTTCCACTGCTGCTGCTGCTCTTCTAGGGTGGAATGGCTGTGCAGGAGGAACGCCAGAGATATGGTGCTGGTGGTGAAGCAGTAAAAGCTGTGTTGGACAGGAAGTGGTCACTTTTCCTTGGCAAAAGAGGTGGTGGGGATGTGCAGGGGCTGGCCTGCTCTTCTGCAGTGCCCAAGCTGGCCAGGCTGGAAAGCCCCAGCAAGCTGTCCCACGGTGGCCGGAGGAGAGTGCAGCTCTTCATGCATGGAGACATACCGGCTGGGAAGCAGTCACACTCCCTTGGAAGAAGTGGCAGGAGAGGGGGTGGGCTGCACTGGCTTGTTCCAAGGCTGGGAAGAGGCTCCAGATTTCCAGCGGATAGAAGCGGCATTCCATGCCAACTTTCTCTCACTGTCCAGGGCAGCGAAACTGGGTAGTCAGTGGGGATGTTCCACCACCCCAATGGGGACCAGGGGGGCAGGCAGGGTGGTGTACGAACCCTCGAAAGACAAGGTGGAGCCAGCGCATGCGCATCAGGCAAATGGTCTTCATATGTGCATGTGCACCAGAAACCAGCAGACCGGATGGCCGGTGCACATGTGCATGCTGAAAACCAGAAGATAATCTGGTTTTTGATGTGCGCGCACTCACACATGTGCACTACCATTTTGGCACTCGGTACTGAAAATGTTTGAGTATGCTCTTGTTTTGGCACTTGGTGCCGAAAAGGTTCGCCATCACTGATCTAGAGCTCTAATGGCCATTTATATAAAAAAGGCTGTTTGGAGAAAAGTTCTGATGAGTGAAAAAGGAATTATTTCTTCCTTTCTAAAAGGAATTGGAAATTCTTTAACCTTATATAGCCAATCACTATGTTCTAGAGATGAGTCATATATTTCTACAAGTAGATGGTTCAGAACCATTCTAGATGCTTCATGGCATTGTGTCTTTATCATCAGAAACTGCTTTCAGTCTGAAAATCCAGTGCAAAAATAGATGACTCGCCCACAGCATAGTGTGTAGATAAATGGGACATTTTGGAAATCAAACTGCAGCAACATTGAATGTTTTACACATTCCATTGTAATTAAAAAGTAAGAAAATGAAATATCACAGAACTGAAAATTAATTAAATATCTCAATAGAAATATCCCTAAAATGTGTCCTTTCATTTTAGTATGTGCGATAGCCGTCAGAAATTGTTTGGAGTGTCAGCAACAGCATATGTTAATGAAGCCTAGTGGAGAAAATGTTAAGCGTCAGAAAATAATACAAAGCCTTATAGCCTCAGGAAGGACTGGAGCAAAGGCAAGTGGATTTTTTAAATCAGTACTGGCAAATGATGAGTTTTTCTTCTCTGTATCTAGGTGAATACATTTATGTGACTTTTTTATATTAATGTAAGTATTAAAAACCAACTATGGTTGTTTAATTACCTAGAAATTTATTTTAAGTTGTATATACAATGTAATAATTCTACATATAAATGCTGTCACTTTTCAGGAAGAAAGATGTACTAAATGTAACTCATAAATAACTTTAGTTTCTTTGCATAGTTTTATTTTATTACTGGACAGTCATGATCTGTTAAGTCAAGGCTGCCCAGCACGGCAGAAGTGCAAGGAGACTGGCAGAAAGTGTGGGGTTGCGGAGACTTACCTGAGCAACTTGTGGCCTTGACTGCAAGGTTCCCCATTGACTTTTCCCCTGCAAGTTTCCCAGGAAGAAAGGAGCAAGTTCAAACTCAGTGTCTGCTATCAGCCACAGTTATATAATTTCCCTGCAAGCTTCCCTACCTTGGCTTGTGAGAATGTGTCAGGGAAACTTGTAAATAAGGATCATGTGTAGTCCTTTCAGGTATATTTCTTTACCTAAAACAGAATGACCATGTGTGGACAAAAATCAGTGGGAACAGGAGCAACTTCCTCATTCCTTTTGACTTCCTCATTTAATTTCTTTATGGGAGAAATTTTTATTGACCCTCAGATATCTTCCTTCCTTCCTGAGGAAGCGAATGAGGGATTGTGTGAGTGGCTGTGATAGAATGTTGAAAATGAGGATCATGTGATGATCGGCAATGATTGAGCTACTGAAGTAGTTTTAACTTCTTCAAATTTCATTTTCTCAGAAGTAATGGATCTTGGCATTCTGTAAGTCCATTTGGGGTACAATTGTTGACAATTGTTTGCCCTATGATGCATATTTTTAGCTCAGCTAAACTTTATATACATTTTTGAAAATCTATAATTTAATTGATTTTTCATCAGATATAGATAGATAGATATATCTATAGATAGATATTCAAAATTAAATAATACATGCCCTTTTTTTTTAACAGAGTCCAGTTGATATTGTAACTGGAGGGATTTCTCCAATAAGAGATATTGACAGACTTCTACAGGATATGGATATTAATCGGCTCCGTGCAGTGGTATTCAGAGATATAGTGAGCAACTTTTCCTACTTAATTCCTTCTTTTAATAGTCATGTATAGTTGTTAAACTTATGTACCATCCAATGATACCAAAATCTAATGATGTATATACAAGAATTGTAAAATATTGTGGGACTAACAAATCAGGAGTTGAGATCATGTGAAAAGCTTAAGATCATATTAACAATTGTTTCTGCAGGTGGATCGGATTTTCCGAATATTTTTAAAATTGGAATGTATTAAAAACCAGATTGTTATTATCACTGTGTTCCTACAATAGTTGAACCATCAGGACAACTCAAGTTCTTTCTATTTAAAATGTAAAACTGAAATGAGTCCAAATATTTTTTTAGTATATTACCAATACATGTCAATAGAATCCCAATATGACATTTCCCAGTTCTGAAGCTGTAGGTGTTTTACTTCACTCAAGAGATGAAAGTAGTATTGATTGCCTAGATTAGAAGGTTTCTACATGAGAACATTCAAAATTATAAAACAAAATATTCTGCTATTTTATCAACATATGCGATTCGCAAAGATCAGGATTTAGTCCGGCATTAAATGAGCAGAAAGGGAGAGTTCTAAATGTGTTTCTGCAAATTTTAAATGAATTCTGAATTCCACTGCTACTCCTGGATAAAGAGTCTTTGCTTATGTACTCATCATAAGATATTGTGGGGAGCTCTTTGAAACAGTTGTGGTAAGCTGTTTTATCGAGTAACAGACTTGAAGGGATACTTTGCTTCTGAAAGAATCGCTCCATGTGATTCACAAAGCCCTAATAAATAAATCCATGTAGATATTTTTTTTTGTAATTTCCTTGAGGAAATTATTTTGTGATAGTAATGTGTAATTCAGGTCTTAGTGTAGGACAATAAAATAATTTTTATTCGTTTTTTGTTCTTTTAGGAGGACAGTAAGCAGGCACAGTTCTTGGCTTTGGCTGTAGTGTATTTTATCTCTGTACTCATGGTATCAAAATACAGAGATATTTTGGAACCTCAAGATGAACGGAGGCAATTTCAACCTTCTCAGTCACCCAAAATAGGTTAGTACTGTAGGCATCTGGAAATATACTTTATTGATTAGAGTAGGATATCCATAAAATTATAAATTTCAGCAACTTGAAGACGTGTGTCTTCAGTTCCTATAATTTTTAGTATTTGTTGGGCTTACTGGAGAATTCAAACAGGAGTTGAAATCCACACAACATTACTGATGTTGGGGAATACTCTTAAAATCATTAGCAGGCCATACAGATCAGTTTGCAAACTACTATTCAGTAAATATATTCATACTGCATACGTTTGATAGATATATAGGATTGTTTTATTCATTTATATAATTTGGGGGCATAATGGTGAATATTTTTATTTCTAGCTTAGGTTCTATTCAAAACAATCTTTTTAACATTCTGAATAATTCGTTGATCTATGATATTCGTTTTGATTATGAAAAATGTTACTAATAACATACTTTCATATTTGTACTTTAAAAATATGAATTGAAAGATTACTTTTAATCTGACACTTGAAAATTGATGTTAAAAATTTCTGATTATTACTTCTAAATATGGAGTTAGTTTATTAGCCCTCAGAGAACCTTGGAACTGTTCATCCATTTCTGCTTACTGTCCAGAACATTATTTTTTTAATATTTCATTGGTTTAATGCAAGTTTAATAGATAAAAATATATTAGTAGTAGTAAACACAAAATAGGATCAATGTCCTTCAGAAATTAAGTGGATGATACCTTATGTTCATACATGGATATAAATTACAGATTGGATTACAGATTAACAGAGTTTGAAGGGACCTTGTAGGTCATCTAATCCAACCTCCTGCCCCAAAAAAGGTATAATCACACTTTAAGAAATGCAGTCTAAGTCCATATGCAACAATGTGTTTAGCTGAATGTTAAATTGATCATGTCAAGTAGCTAAATAGATTGGAATAGACAAATTTGGGCATTGATTTATTAGTAAGTAAAGAGTCCAGCCAGTTTTGCTTGTAAGTAAAGAGTCCTGCTGGTTTTGCTTGTAAGATTTTATGACTGAAAAATTCAAAGTGGCAAAGTTCCAGATAATTACTAGATGTCAGGAAAGAGATATAGAAGTCATGGCATACTTCCCAAATTGGATGATAGTGCTGAAAATTAACTTTTTAAGAATAGCAAGATTGGATGGAATGTGGAACCAGTTATAGCAGACCCTGATATTCTGTACATTATAGTTTTAATTGTTTTCTAGATTCACCATGTTCTTTTTGACAAGTTGTAGATTGTCTACCTAACTAGTTCCTTTTCAGTCCTAATATCTGATAACTGAGTAAGTAAAGAGACCTTGTAAGTATTATATTTTAATTGCTCTAGTATAGAACCTAGTTGGAATTCTTAGTTACAGTAACCTCTAGTATTATCCATATGATGAATTAAGAACAGAAAACTTTAGGAACAGTTATTTGTTGTAATTTTTGTTAAGACAGCAATTGTTTATAAAATAATCTGATCACTTTGAAGGTAATTCTGATGTTTTATACTATATCTTATATCTCTCTCAAGTTAAGGAAGAACAATGTGAAGCTATTACCACTTTAAGTCAGGAACCTGCCAAACAGTCAGAAAGTGTGACATCTCCACAAAGAAGGGAGTCTGGAATCCAGGAGGAAGCTTATTCCGGATCAGGACACAATTCTGAGATGGTTACTGAACCAGAAAGACAAAGTATAAGTACAGGTCCAGATGCAATCAGTGAAATATTATGTACTCTTTCTTCAGAAGTTAATAAATCTCAAGAAAATAAAAATGAAGTACATAATGAGATTGATGGTAAAACTGCATCCTCTGTACAAACTGCAAAAAACGTCAATGTGAAAGACATCCTAAGAAGTTTGGTCAGTGCTCCTGCAGATGGGGCCACAGTGGACCCTACTGTTCTTCCACCTGTTTTTCTTGGAGCCCTTGGTGATGGGGCCACTGCACAACCAATACAATTTCAATCTTTTGACAGGTAAAGATGGTTAAACCTTGATTTATATAAAATGATATATAAAATAAGTTTTTAAAAAATTAAATATTTTTCCTGAAATGTGCATACCTGCAAATAAATATACTTTATAAATCTAAAAGTATAATATAGGCAGTCCTCGACTTATGACTGAAGTTGAACCCAATTTTTTTGTTGCTGAGACATTGGTTAAGTAAATCTTGTCTCATTTTATGATCTTTCTTGTCACAGTTTTTGAGTGAATCACTGCAGTTGTTAAATTAGTAACATGGTTGTTAAGTGAATCTGGCTTCCCCATTGACTTTGCTTGTCAGAAGGTCACAAAATGTGATCAGATGACCCCAGGACATTGCAACCATCATAAATATGAACTAGTTTCTAAGTGTCTGAATTCTGATCATCTAACCTGGGGACGTTGCAGCAATCATAGGTGTGAAAAACGGTCATAAGTCACAAACAAGCTTTTGCAGATGGGAGAAAGGAAATTAGTTCAGGGTTTTTCAGGATTGCTTTGTGATGTTTTGAAGACTTTGCATTATAGGGAATAAATTCAGAAGCATAAGCATTAATCAGTATAGTTGCAATTTTAAGCAGATTGAATAATGATTACATATTACATATGTGAAATGATTACATATTACATATGTGAAAGGAAAAATAACCATAAAAAAGTGAAAATCTTTCCATGACTAAAGTTGTTTTTTTAATGCTCGATTGTTCAATTTTATTCATTCGAGTTAAAGAAAACCACCTGCATGTTTTATTAAAACAAACTATATTCTTGGCTTTATACAGGTGTATGACTTTGCTTACTGAGCTTCTAAATTTCCAGTTATTGTGCAGATTGAAGAAAGTGATCAAAATTAATCTGTATGCATTGGTGAATACAGGATATAATGTTGCTGCATTAAAGGGGAAAAAACTAAAACTTTGTAAAATTGATATTCTTGTAAGATTTTAACATGTGGTGGAACCTTATTACATTGTCTGCTCCCTTTTTCCCCCCAGATTTGTATGTGTGTGTGTGTATGTGCATGCGTGCATGTGCTACTGTGTTAGGTTGATTGTGGGTAGAATGGGTTATGACCTGTTGTTCAGGAAACGAGCTAGTTTTATCTCTAGGGACATCACAATACTAACGTTACAGTTGGAAACTTGGAGCAAGCTGGCTTCAGGATGCTCTGAGGAACTTAGTGTATCTGGTTTATATTTAAAGTATTGTCTAGTGCGGAACACAGGGCTTTGTGAATTAATTTTTGGGGTGGGGGAAGAAGAAATCTTGTTAATTTTTTTCCTATGTAGCAGTTATACAGAAAAATATCTCTGGGAATTTTAAAGCATCTCTCTGATCCTACATTTATCTCAGGAATGTTGTGTCAGAAATCAAAACTCTCCTCGTATTTTAAGGATTATCAACTCTTCAGCCATAGCTGGAGAATATACAGTAACAGCTATGTGAGTGAGACCTAGCTGAAAGCCTGGCAGGTTGTGGATTTTTGCAAACAAGAAGATGATGTGTGCTTATTCCCATACCCAAAACTACTCTTTTATGTTACATGGAGATCCAATCTGGTGATTAGTGGTTGCCAGGGATCTATCTTGATAAAAGTTCAAGACCTGGTCTGTTTTTTTCATTAAGGAAGTAGACAGTGAATTGACAGACTATTTGCAGTATTTATTTTCTATAGACTTCCGGAGGCAAAAATACTATTTCATTTCATTTTTTAACAGTAGAAGTGTTGGAAATTATTTAAAGTCCTGCTGATTAAAAAAAAATGAAGAAAATTATCTATTGTATAGTTATTAAAAGTTCTGAAATATGATCTTACATTTTTCAGTTCTTTAAAAAGAATAGTAGAAATAGTTGTTCTTTGCAGTGAAAATTAGATTTTAAGGCCAACTTTTTCCTATTTTTAAGGTATTTCAGAGTTTTTGCAATGTTTTTATGTTATCTTATTTATATAGCTATCCTAACACATAAGCTCATTAGTCCCTGTCAAATACGCAAATTAACTGAATTATGAGAATGTACTTTTATTACTTCAGTAGTCATCAGTTTTGAAGAAACAGATGAAATAAATAATGGAAGTGTTGTGGACATTTCAATTATTGGTTTAAAAGTGGGCACTTGGCAGCCTGAGGGTGAAGGTTTGGAGAACCAACCTTCGCCCTCATCCTACATCCGAGCTACAAATATTCACCACTTGGAAGCCTGCCCACACTTATGTCCATATGGGGTTTCAAACTCCCTCATCTGCGTATCTCCTTCCCTAAGCCTTTTTGGCTTTCTGATAGCCTGCACTCCACGATCCCAGATGACTTTCACCCTTTTCTTGCTCTCATTGCTGATGAAGCATGTTCGGCCTGGATGTTGAGCCAGGCTGGGCTAGGCTTTAGCTGTGGAGGGGCGGGAGGGGGGAAGAGCCAAAAAAAGCCACTTTAGTTTTTGTTTTACTAATAGGTTCATGTTCTGACCCCTCCTCCGTCCAGTAACGAATGCCGAAACAAGCTTAGCTGGAATGTACTTTATTAGCAAGAAACCAAAACCTCGGTGGCTGAAAGCCAAACATAACAAACAGATAAGGATCTTGGCAGCAACTCAGACAAACCTTGGCAGCAAACCAGCCTGCCAAGCT